GTTTTTCTTCTTGTTCAATATGATTTTCCCTGAGAGGGTGTGATAACGGAACGGTCTCGTCCTGTAGCCAGAGGTTGAGGAGTGCGTACCACAACGCAAAGAGCGAAGTTCACACTTAAAATGACTAGTGCCTGTATAAGACTGCCTTCATAATTTGCAACAGCGTCTACCAGCGACCAGCAGCGTCTCGATGGCTAGGGAAGCATAGGTATCGATCTAGCGTCTGGTAGCGTCTAACAGCGTCCACCAGCGACCAGCAGCAGACTGCTGGTAGAGAGTATGGTGCGATAGGAGGGTACCAAATGTCTGCTACCCTCCTATCGCGCCATACTCTCACCAGCAGTCTGCTACCCTCCTATCTCCCCATACTCTACCAGCTGTCTGCTACCCTCCTATCGCGCCATACTCTCCACTCCCGGACGCTGCTAGATGCTGGTGGACGTCGGTGGACGCTGGCAGACGCTGGTGGACGCTGTTGCAAAGGATGGAGCCGCCTAACACAGGAGCGATTGCCCTGAACTGTGTTCTTCGGATAATTGGTTAGTTGCTATGTTATTTTTTGATGTTTTTTTCAGGTTCGAGTTGCACTCATCCAAAATTCTATAGCGCTACCAACAACAGCGCCGGTAGACGAACAGAAGAAGGCCCTGCACCATAAAATTGGCGCAATGATCGAGGCCGCTGCCTTAGCAGGAGCCAACATCGTCTGTTTGCAAGAGACCTGGAGTATGCAGTGTATTCAATGAATAAGTTTTGAAGTTTCACAGGATAAATTTGTTCCAGTGATGCCATTTGCCTTCTGTACTAGAGAACGACTACCATGGACGGAATTTGCCGAATCTGCAGAACATGGACCGACGACGAAATTCATCTCAGAGGTACGGGCAAATTACTAATTTCATAGATTTTATAGGTCTAAGACTTAAGTTCAGCATAAGTCCGCATTCCAGTTCGTTGCATTTTAAGACATTTTAGCAACAGGTCTTACTAGATGGCATGACTTTGAACAAGGTCTTATGACACGTCATGAAGAGTACACTGAACTCATACCTATCATTTCTTCGACTTTTCAATCCGGACGCTGCTAGATGATGAAGGCTGGGAACATTTGCTCAAGCCTCAAAGGCGAAAGGAGAATCCCACCCTTACATGATAGCTGAGGAGGGTTGCGTTTGTTTCAAAAAAAATTTCCGCTTATGCGAGGAGGATTCTCTCGCTATTGGGTTTCATCGGTTTTTCGCCTTTCGTATTCGCTATAACACCCTCCCCTTGTTGATTATCAGGGTCTATCATCGTTGGGGATTCCCCAACAGGATAGGGAGCTTGCATTTGGTCGCTGGGGGAGGGAAGGTAGTATTTGTTCTGAGAAAAAAATTTTTTCTGGATATGTTATTTTTCTTGGTTTCGGGACGCTATAAACATTGTACCCGCGTTCGAAAGCACAATTTTTTGAGGAAAAACGGGAAACCTCTTGAAAAAATCCGGAAAAAGTATAGAAAAATGGGGAAAATCTAAAAAAGTGGTAAGTAGGACGAGGAAGAGGAGGTCGTCTGTTCTTCGGCCTTTCCCTGTTTCACATGTGCCATACTGCTAGATACTCCCTGCCCTCCGTTCGACAGCTCGATGAGGAGAGAAGGAGGCAGGGGGGGGGGGTCGTACGGATTCATACCCCCAACTAATGATGTCCTGTTGCTGGTGCCACACATCAAGCATACGACTACTGTTTCCGATAGTTGAATTTGGTGGTCTAGAGGTGGCGATCATTCTACCCGCCCCGCCCTCGATCGCACTTTTTTCCTAGGGAAAAAAATGGAGGAATCTTGAAAAATACTACGGAACAGTGGTGGGAATTTGTACAAATCAAGGAAAATGATAGGTAGGGATGGAGAAAGTGTGCCGTACCAGAGGAGGACATTTCGAGGGAAGGCCTCACTTTTTGCGAAAACCTTTCCATCTCAATTTCCCAGTGCCCTTTCCCCGCTACATCAGATTCTTCAAGAAAACCTGAGGATTTTCAGGAAGGCTGGGAAAAACGGTAAGATTCTGGGGAAACTCAGGGTGATAGTAGACCAGATGTGGAAGAGGACATATGGAAACGGCATATAAGGAAATTAGGCGGAGGGTCGTATTACACTGCCATTTCACTAATATCTGCCAATGCTCAGCTATGAACTCCTAATCCACCAATGATTCACTTTGAAAACCTGCTGGAAGGGATTCCTATGAAATGGATCGTTACGATCTGGTCAGACAGATTATTTGCGCCATTCTTCTCGCTTTTTTGAAACCGTTATCTGCAACGGATCTTCGCTGAGAATCTTGTCTCATCGTGACGAGGCTTACGCAACCGATTCCTTAGGAACCCGAACATTACGTAGGGGAAGTACAGGGTATTCCATAAGGCGGGGACGGGCCGAAGCGGTACTCTAGTATCGCATAGCCGTTGACAGAGGTGGAATTGGAGCCTTCAAGAGACGTGATTGTCTACACATCGTCGAAGGAAGGTTTCCAGAACAAAACAGGGACGCACCATTCATCCCTCGTTCGTTACTTCAGTTTTGATTCGTCCTGGAACTCAAGCTGTGGGATTGACAGAACACTTGCCGAGCAGGCACTCGGCAAGTACAACTACCGCATCTGCTTGAAGCGAGGATACGATCGCATCAGGCTTGTTCTGGTGCGGCGCCTGTAGCTCGGGAGGGGTTTTTCCTCCGGGGGTCAGGTCTATATTAGTGCACGAATTCCGGTGGAAATCTATTCTGGTTCCACACAGTTGAAAGAAGAACGTAACTTATAGCACAGAAAGAACCCTAGGTACCACTTGGCAGCCAGGACTCCACCTTAGGCACGGATGGTTTCACCGCGAAATGCAAATGAAGGCCAGTAGATGGAAAGTCCTGCTTTCAAGCTCTATTCACGCACGCTTCTTGTGAGAGAACAGCTTCCCTTGCAGATTGGTGTCAGCGTGATTTATTGCATACCATAGGAAAGTTTGCAAAAAGTATAGCTTGATTCTCGACGTTTCCCCAGGAAACTGCGGAAGACCGCCTGTACACCGTTTGCTAGTCTCTCGCAATTCGTAAAGAAAGCGATAAGTCAAGCAATCTGTCTGAAAGAAGCGGTTCTATAGCAGTACGAGTGATCGCTTCCGTCCCCTATTGTTTTATTTCAGTTAGCTGCAAAATACAGTATGGTGATCATAAACCCGATTTTGGAAAGGGACGAATCAAAAGATGACGTCATCTGGAATGCAGCTGTGGTCATTTCTCAAACAGGGAAAATCATCGGTAAAACACGGAAGAATCACATCCCCAGAGTTGGCGATTTTAACGAGGTATGTCTCTAAACCACGAATCATTTGATAAATTACGCCCTGCTCTGAGCTTCGATCATCAATCGTAGACTTGAGTTCTAGATTCTTAGATCTACAAAACTGCTTTGCTGGTGATATAGTGGGGGAGGCCTGATAGAGATGCACTTATGAGTGCAATCCTGCCTTTCCGACATTGTTCATCGAAAGTTCTATGAACGAGCTGAGTTATAGAAAGCTTTTAGCTTACCTCAACCTCAAACACTATTCCCCTGTTCCTTCTAGGGAGAGGGGGAGGAATGTTCCATGAATTACCGGCAGCATAGCGAAAAATGACACACTCAAAATGATCCTAACCCCCCCCCCTCCTTCAACCTCCCACTCTAAGGGAGATAACACCGCAGTACGCTCTCCGCAGCTGCGCGTTCTTTCTTCGGCGCTGATTCATCCCTTTCCGTAGCGCTCTAGGTCCTTATTTTCCACAGAAAGCATTGTGACTCGCGGAAGAAAGCAATTTCGCAGTCATTCTTCCTCTGGATAAGTATGGTAATATTAAATCGGATACAGAGAGATTGAAGGCTTGGTTGGTCTGGGTAGAAGCCAATCTCAAATTTGATTCACTGATTCGCCAAGAGTGCGACAGTTCTAAAGTTCGATATTTGCCAGTACACGCCCGCGCCTTACCGATAGAAACGAACACTCGTTCCCCGTTCTCTTTATTCGAGAATCCTACTTCTCGGCGAGCTTTTCAAATCCATACTTTAATAAAATGAAAGCTTCTCCTTGGAAAACCGTACCCGCGCATAAGCTCAATTTAGACCAACTGAAAACTACTACCTAACATGACACAACGCATAGAATGCTTGGCTAAATAAGAAAAAGGACGCCCCACCGATGTCGTCTTACAAATATGAGGTGAAGGGAGGGATGGGGAAGGGGGGGGGGAAGACAGCTAGCAGCAAAGTCAGCTCTACATTGGCTGGAAAAAATGTGGAATAGATAATGCACTTATTAGTGAAAGTATGATTATTGGCTTCAGTACCTTGCACACTTGAAGCGCTCTCCCGTGTTCCCAAATTCTGTGAGCTCGAACAGATTTGGGACTCCGGCACTCAAATAGCTCGAGTTTCTAGATGAACTATGAACGAGGAGATGTGCCATGATTAAG